GTGTGCAATGAAAAACACAATACCGTGTTGATAATATGGAAGAAAAACCCACAATGCACAAACTAGATTTATTGAGGAAAGTGAGACAACAGTTTCGGAATCGTCCTCGATTCCATCTTCGGGTCTGAGGAGGCAAGGGAGAGTGAGCGGTGTAAGAGGGAAAGGAGGAGAAGCACTCGGGAACCACGAAGACGGAATCGAGGACGATTCCGAAACTGTTGTCTCACTTTCCTCAATAAAATAATATATATATCTATATATATATATATATATATATATATATATATATATATATATATATATATATATATATATACATACACATATCACACACCACACACACACACACACACACACACACACACACACACACACACACACACACACACACACACACACACACACACACAACACACACACACACACACACACACACACACACACACACACACACACACACACACATATATATATATATATATATATATATATATATATATATATATATATATATATATATATATATATATATATATATATGATACACCAATGAACACTTACAGGCAAGCGGAAGTGCGGATGGTTGTCATTAAGGTCGAGAATGGTCAGCTCGACGGTGGCGGGGTTGGCGTCGTGACCTCTTCCGCCCTCGTCGTTGGCACGCGGGTAGAAGGTCATGGTGCCACGGGTCGCCGCCTCCCGGTCAAGGCACTGTGGGGGAGGATATAGTGAAGCTGAGAGGAGAAAGTGAAACTGAAAGAAGATGATGAAGCTGATAGAAGATAGTGAAGCCGATGGAAGATAGTGAAAGTGAAAGAAGATAATGAAGTTGATAGGAGATAGTGAAGCATACAGGAGATAGTGAAAAGTGATAGTGATGATAGGGAAAGATAGTTTTTTATATATACAGATAAATAGTAGAGCACAAAATATAGCGACAGGTATAGTGACGATCAGTATAGTAAAAAGTTGAATTGACAGTTGACAATGGCATTGCGAGGGTAAAAAGGGAGTTCTGAGAGTTGATAGGATGAGAGAAAGTCAAAGTGCTAGAAACAGTGACATAGGGAGGATAAGAGAAAGTTGTTATAGTTTATGGCTGATAGTGACTTTGCGATGGCAGAGGAGTATCTGGAAACTTTCAGAAATGGGAGGGAAGAGAATGTGTGTTTGCAAGTTTCAAGAGAGAGGGTGGGAAGAGAGGGAGAGAGGGAGAGAGGGAGATAGAGAGAGAGCAGAGGAAGGAAGAGTGGAAAGGCGAGAGGGAAAGGTTGAGTGAGAGAGAGAGAGAGAGAGAGAGAGAGAGAGAGAGAGAGAGAGAGAGAGAGAGAGAGAGAGAGAGAGAGAGAGAGAGAGAGAGAGAGAGAGAGAGAGAGAGAGACAGACAGACAGACAGACAGATGGACAGAGAAGGAGGGAGTACATCCATATTTCTCTATATGTCAGCTCTACTTCATCCGTCGGCTTCACTATCTTCTTCAACCAACCGTTCAAATTGCCAAACAGTTAGCACAAACATTTTCTAAATTCTTTAAACATAATCAACAATCTACACAACCATTAACCGTCATTATTTACATCTTTTGAGCAAAACAATTTAAACAACAATGCATTTACATTACCTGCACTCTTTAATCATAATCACAACCGCACTTTCGCATTCCATTTACAACCTTCAACTTCAGACAACTTACACATTCATACATCAATTTGTTTACATCATTTAAACATAAAACAGCAACTCACACCACCATACCTATGCATTTTATTGTACACCTTCATTTACACCTTCAGTTACACCTCTATATACACCGTGATTTACAGTTTCATTCACCCCTCAATTCATACCTCCACCCACACCTTTATTTACAATTTTATATATACACCTCCATTCACAACTTTACTTACACTTTTATATATACACCTCCATTCACCTTTATTTACACTTTTATACATACACCTCCATTCGCAACTTTATTTACACTTTTATATATACACCTCCATTCACAACTTTATTTACACTTTTACTTACACCTCCATCCGCACCTTTATTTACACTTATATATACACCTCCATCCACAACTACACACCTCCATTCACAACTTTATTTACACTTTTACTTTCCATCCGCACCTTTATTTACACTTTTATATATACACCTCCATCCACAACTTTATTTACACTTTTATATATACACCTCCATTCACACCTTCACCCTCACCTTCACTCCCACCATCACCCCCCGCCCCTCCATTCACACCCCACCATCCACACCTCCACTTACACCCATATTTACACCAACGCCATTTACATACGCCCTTGAGTGAGAGCTCGCCTGACGTGTCCCCAATAGTGAAGTTGGCGAGCTCGAGGGATGACAGGTAGTATAAGATGTTCTGGTTCTCGGACATGGGCAGGTCGGGGTCAATGGCCGATACCTGAGGGAAAGGGAGAGAGAGAAAAAGGAGGTAAAAAAAAAGAGATTAAAAGGGAGAGGAGCGAGAGGATTGGGAGAGATGGATAAAGAGGGGAATGTGTGGATAAGTGGTTAAAGAAGTTTGGGAAAGAAGGGCAAAGAGGAGAATATGCCAATGGCCGATACCTGAGGGCAAGGGAGAGAGAGAAAAGGGGAGTAAAAAAGAGTTTAAAAGGGAGGAGGGATGGATGAGGAGGGAGAGAATTGGGAGAGAAGGATTAGGAGGGAGGATGTGGATAAAGAAGGAAAGAAGGGATAAAGGGGGAATGTGTGGATAAGTGGATAAAGATGAAGAAGTTTGGAAGAGAACGATAAGGAAGGGAATATGTCCATGGCCGATACCTGAGGGAAAAGGAGAGAGAGAAAAAAGGGGATAAAAAAGAGATTAAAAAGAAAGAGGGAGAGGATTGGAAGAGATGGATGAAGAGGGAGAGGTTTGGGAGAGAAGGATGGAGAGGGATGGAATTGGGAGAGAAGGATGGGAGAGGGATTGGGAGAGAAGGATCAAAAGGGAGGATTGGGAGAGATGGATTAAGAGGGGGAGTGGATAAAGAGGGGAATGTGTGGATAAGTGGATAAAGAAGTTTGGGAAAGAAGGATAGAGAGGAGAATATGTCAATGGCCGATACCTGAGGGCAAGGGAGAGAGAGAGAAAAATGGGGGTAGAAAGAAATTAAAAGGGAGGAGAGAAGGATGAGGAGGGAGAAGATTGGGAGAGAAGGATTAGGAGGGGGAGTGTGGAGAAAGAAGGAAAAACGGGATAAATGAGGAATGTGTGGATAAGTGGATAAAGATGGAGAAGTTTAGGAAAGAAGGATAAATAGGAGAATATGTCAATAACTGATACCTGAGGGAAATGGAGATAAAGAAGGGGTAAAAAAGAGATTAAAAGGGAGAAGGATGAAGAGGGTAATAGGTGGATAAAGAAGGGACAAAATGGGGGAAAAGGATAAAGAGGGAAATATGTGGATAAAGAGAAAAAGGGATAAAGGAAGGCCAATTATTTACAAAATAAGGGTAAAAGGTGGATATTCGGATACAAGAAAAATCGAAAAAAAATGAGAAAGAATGGATAAAGAAAAAATACCAAGATGAATATGGATAAATAGGAAATACAGCGATAAAGAAAGAATAATCAAAGAACGAAAAGATAAAGGTATGATATATGGATAAAGAAAGACAGAACAAAGAAAAATATGATAAGAATGGAATAGAAAGAGCAAATAAAACAAAATGGATATACATTATAAAATATAATAAAAGTAAAGCGAAATATATTAGATAAAGTCCGAGAGGTCTTTGTTTAAACGCGATTTCTATAAAAAGAAGATACTGTATCTCACTATCTGTCTATCTATCCACTTTTCTCTATATCTATCGGTTTATCGAATTGCTGATATGTCTTGTTATTTATATACATATATATGTGCTTATTTTCATTTACCTGTCTATTTGATTATCTATCTAACCATATCTCCATTAATCTACCAATCAATTCTATCTATCTATCTTCCTAAACACATGCACAATTAAACACACAAACATACACCCATCCCCTAGACAAAGTAACTTTTCTCCCTTTTACCTTTATAAACTCAAAGACCCTAAATTAAAATCCACTAAGACTCAACCTAAATTAAATTAACTCAACCTAAATTAATTAAACAATCATTAATTAAAACTCAAAAAAATTAAACTCAACCTAAATTAAATTAAACTCAACCTAAATTAAATTAAACAATCTTGATTAAATTAAACTCAACCTAAATTAAATCAAACCTGCTTAGTCTTACACATGCTTACTCTTCGACACATTCGAACACTTCGTAAAATGAAAGACCCTGAACAACAACTACATCTCAATCCTACTACATCTTCGAACGAATTATCCAATCTCAGTGCTCCGAGAAACCATGAACCAAAGATCCCAACCTAAACTCGACGAGGACGAGCTTTTCTCCCCTCGCTCCATGAACCCAAAGATCCCAACCTAAACCGAGTGCTTCTCAAACCCGAGGCCCGAGGACGAGCTTTCTCCCCCTCGCCTCCATGAAGCCAAAGATCCCAACCTAAACTCGAGTGCTTCTCAACCCGAGGCCCGAGGACGAGCCCGCGAGGCCGCCCTCCTCACCTTGCCGAAGGTGATGTTGCAGTCGGCGTTCTCGGTGACGGTGAAGGTGTAGTTGGCTCGCTCGAACACCGGCTGCAGGTCGTTCACGTTCGTCACGGCGATCGTGATCTCCGTCTCCGCCGGGGCGTTCGCGCCGTCGCTCACGCGCACGCGCATCGTGAACTGGGGGGGAAGAGAGGAAGAAAGATAGGTAGATAGATATATATACATAGACTGATTGACATATAGAGAGAAAGGACGAGAGAGATGAGAGAGACAAGACAGACAGAGAGAGGAGGGAGAAAGTAAAGTTAGAATGAACGAACTAAGACATGCAAGTAAGATGAGAAATTTAAGTAAGGATAAAATGAGGATGAACAGAGAAAAAATAAGCACATAAACGAGGATGAAAAA